TTTCTTAGATAGGGTTACGTAATCATCACTATACACGACTATCGACTACCTTCTTCCCTCAATATCTAAGAAATAATAAAAAATATAGTCACTTTTCATTGATGTACGGTTTTCACTACACTTAGATGACTGCACAGAAATGACTACACCGAAATGACTGCACCTTAGTGACTGCACTGAGATGGATACACCAAACACCCTGATGCACGATGGCTTCACCAACACCAAGATCGCTATAAAGCTGTGTCATTATGCCATCAATTCAATCATACCATCTCTTTTTCGATGAAGTTCGCTACCTCTGTTTTCACCTTTGCGCTTATTCTCGTGTTCACCAAAACCGTCCACGCCTTCATCGAAGTCACCCCCTTCCACTTGATTGTTCTCATCAAGGCTGCCGTCTTCCTCATCATCTACAACGGCGAACTCGCCGTCCCGCCCCTGTACCTGGAGCAACCCACCCTTCCCCCGCCTGTCAGGAAAACCCTCCGCATTGAAGGCACCACCCTCCAAGTGGCCAATTCGCTGGCGGATTTGCTGCTTGTGGTGCCTGCCGAATTGTCGGCACCGTCCCCAATTGTTGTCACCCCACTGGCGCCGGTGATGCTGCTTGCATCGCCAGCACAACTGCTGTCCCAGACTTTCGACCTCCCTACCCCGCCGAGTTTGTCCACTATCTTGTCGCTGTTGCAACTAATTTTCAAGCTCTTTAGCCCGCCGATTTTGTATAAGATCGTGTCACTGTTGCACCTGATTTCCAAGTTCCTTTCCCCGCTGGTTTTGTTTGGTTTCATGCCGCTGTTGCCGCTTCTGCGTGTCTTCAGCGTCGTGAAGGAGTTGTTGCCGTTGAAACAAGATGAGTCCTGTCCCGTTTGCTTGCCGATTTCGGTAAGTCCTGCGACGCTGCCTTGGAGCTTCATCCTTGCGGGTCTCGTGTTTTACGCCATCGTTCTCAGATCTCACTTGGTTAAGAAGGGCGCTGCCGGTGCCGCTTTCATCAAGCAGGAGCAATTTTCGAGCTCAAAGTTGCCTGTCTGCGAAGATGACAACGACGCTGGCGACTACCTTTTTGACTGTAGTGATTTCGAAAACGTTAGGCTTGACTGTGACCCGCAAGAGGAACCCTTCGTGGCCGCTGACATCGTGAAATTGATGGAAGATGCTGCCGCAAAAGTGCTTTACCCTGAAGTGACACCCACTGCAACCATCGCCTCAGAGGCGAGAACTTTGAATCCTCGGACTGGTACTGGCCACCCCAGTCTCGGGACATCAAACTCTCGTCCTGTCGCAGGTAGTAGTGCTGTCGCCGCCACAGGGCCGAGAACGTTGGATCCTGGGGCTGGTACTGGCCGCACCAGTCTCGAGACTCCACGTTTTCGTCCTGTCGGAGGGAGCAGTGCTGACACCGCCTCAGTGGCGAGAACTTTGAATCCTGGGGCTGGTACTGGCCCCACCCGTCCCGGGACTTCAAATTCTCGTACTGACGGTGGCAGCATCGCAGCCCCCGAAAATGGTAAAGGCTCTCTGTGGCAAGACCCGCAAACGTTAGCTGAAATTCGGATAGCGATTCGTACAGCTAACGACTGGATGTAAGCCAACTAAGATTGAACTCTCTCAGTATATTGTATAGTAATGCAAAAAGTGAAAAACAAAGATACTTGTAGTTGAAATTAGCGTTGGTTGTAAATCATTTCATGCAAACCACACTTCAATAATACTAGATCAGCTTAGAAACATTTGTCGTTCACAATTAGAAAACGAAAAGTATAGGTTTCGATACAGGAGTTAAGAGTCGGTTATAGTTAGTGGGGATAGGCATCGGATGCAGACAGTAAGTTGTTTGTATTGGGCTTCAGCTTTCTCTCCGGGCTTGGCAGATCCATGCCAGCCTCAGGAAGATATGCCTGAGTGTAATGGAGGATAACGAAGGCAATTATTGAGCGAATGCCAATAGCAGAGCTGAAGTATCCATTATACCTCTCCAAAATCATACTACTGATGCCTCTTCGCACACTTCTATATGTCGTTTATTAGTGTCTCCCTTGCCCCTATCCTTTGTTTTTTTGGTGCGCAATCGTCTAATGTGGAAATCGATGACCAAGATTTCACTGGAGCTTCCAATCAGGCGAAATAAGTAGGACTAGCATGCAAATTGTAAAATCTGATCCTGAAATACCAAAATAGCTACCATCGATAATGTCACCGGCGTCCAAGCTTCAAAATGACGCCTTGAAAAGCAATCTTTTCTGTTGATGGCTGATTGCTTACCCTGTCGCACGAGTGGTTTCCCCAGGATCTCGCTCGCAAGGGGAGGCACACAGTCGTACCAATCGACAACTACGTCTCGTAGGTTATCCGTTTACCCGAACAAACGCGTCTTCAGTAAGCCCCGAGAGGGGAGCAACAAAACTGTATCGACAAAGCGAACGACAAATCCACAATAATAGGCTCCACTTAGCATTGCCTTCATTAATCAATCACTGGGCCCCATAAGTGTCTATACCTGCACACAATTGTCGTTTGGATCGCTGTTTACAAAAGCGCGAGCCTCACGACTTCCCCGCCACACCTGTTGTGGCCGATAGAGGGTACAGTTTTCCATGCCCAGGAGAACAGACCCATCATTAGATGCTTATCATTGACCCCATACGTGGTATCAACAGCCAACAACCACTTTACCTCGCACTTTCAGGTTGCTCGGGGTCTCTCTGGGTGTCACGTCGGGTTACTCTGCTGGGTATTGATCCGACGCCAACCATGGGCTAAACAAGTTGCCGTGCCGTTCCCAGTGATCATAGCCATCGTATTGAGCTTGAGTGTCTTTTGGGATGTCATCTATTATCGCATTCAGCGGATTCTGCCTTTCATTTGTTGACATATTTGCGAAGGTGGTTCGCTCCCCAAAGAACTCAACCATCTGACTGCTGACACTGTCATGTTTTCCACGCCTATGTGTTTGGCTGAGGCTTGTTGAGGTCTTGCAGTTGTCGTTGGAAGAGTTGGACACCAATGTCACACGATGGAAAGGTGAGGTGTCACATTAACGGCGATAGCAGTAGAAGCTCAAGACGGCGATTCAGTCCAATAATACTTGGTGATGACGGCGACATATCCCACGATGTTAACGGGCTCAAAAGTGTAACCTATTGCCTGGTATGTTCATCCATTGAGGGTGCCTTGAAATTTGCCACTGGACGAGGTATTTGACCGTGGAGAAAACAAATGAGACTCTAGAAGGGCTCTATAATGCCCCATGGACCAGTAGTTGGTTTTCTTCAAGCGCTGGGAGTGGCGTTGTATGATATAAAGCCTTAGCTGATGGATGGGAACCCAGGGACGGGTATCAGGCGTGTTCTTGGCGAAATAGGGTCCTTACACGCTTAGGAAAGGTTTGGAAATTAGCTGGAAACCTTGATCTTCCTCATTAAGTTGAGTCTTGACCTTCATCTTGCTCATCAGGCATGAAATTTCATGTTTGTTTATCCCTCGATGAGCGCGACCCTGTATGGACGAAGTCCGCCGCCTGACGTCGTGTTTAGGGTGTCCGACGATGTCGACGACGTGGCGTGGAGATGTAAAAACCACACCAGCTTTGATTAATCACGTTAACATCGTGATTTGCTTTGAATATAGCTGATTTTCATTTGCCTTGCTCACATGGAAGGGGTGGTCTGTTATGAGCACGCGGGTCGTGTTGTTGGCTAGACACAGGAAATTGCAAAATGTCGATGACCCGGCAGGGCACCCTTCCTGCTTATGTTGAGTGCAAGGGGACTGAGTCTTGCGGCATGACGACATGCAAATAACGCATGAGAGGTGATTCGCAGCCATTTAGACCTACTTTACTCGCCTTATGGGGGTAAATTAGCATCTTAAGGGGATACTAAACAGTGTTGGCAGTACCAAATGGCTTTCCCAGAGTTACTAATGGCTTTATCTTAGTCGTGTGGCTGTTTGATGGACTTTTTCGCGTGATATCCTGATTGTTCATCGCATTCTCAGGGATGCGACCAAATTCGCGCATCCTCTGACCCTATTTTGTGACCACAAAGGCGAAGTATTACTTAGCAGTACTAGTGTCAAGCGTGCTATCATTTAATGTGACTTTAATGCCACCAATGTGGGATTCTGAGTCATTGGACTTGATGTACAAGACATGAGCTTCATGAGGCGGTATTTGTCTTGAACCCAACCCACATTATTCTGGGACATAAGACCCAAACTCGATTGCTAACGTATGGCCCTTGAGTTTAAATTCAGCACTGACTGACCAACTTCTATGTCATCTTATAACCCGTTAAAGTCACTCGTATACTTCTGATTTGAAACGGAGGTTGTATGGATTTGAAATGCTTAAGAACAAAGGCGCTATAGACGGGTGCTAGCACCACCACGCTTGTAATTGAAGAATATGAGCCAACTAGTTTGAAATTCGGTCAACAACGTTACTAGAAAACCAGTGCTTTGAAGAATGCCTCACCTCAGTAGCTACTTCGACAACTACTACGCCATCATATAGTCCTTGAGAACCCACCTTTGTTTCAGCACTTTCTTCACCATCGACTCAATACACGTCATGCCATCCTAAGTACTCAACGATAAGCCGTTATAACCGCATTGATACTTCAATATCTTGAAGGATTGGTAGGTAGATTTGTAGCCAGAGCCCTGGGTATAAATCATACAATATAGTCCATCTAATTTCTAACATACATTTAACTCATTGGTTATTTTGAGCTTAGATAATAGCTACATCTACTTTTTTCGGTTGCCGGTCCTATGGTTGGTTAGGTATGTTTCGTCAAAGCATCGTATACCCTCAACTATATGTTAATCACGATGAAGGTTGCCCACTCGGCTTGAAAGTGTTTGTATCAATCAAAAAAACTGTGATATAGTGAGTTTCAACTTTGCGGATAGTATTTCGCAGCCAGTAGTTGACTTTGATCGTATGACTTCCATTAACAAGCGATATTGGTACCACCGACTTCATCAACAACCTTACACAAACCACAAGCTCAAAGATGTTCAGCTTTCTTCTGGTACATTTGGGTAGACGTTTCAGTTGTTGGAAATTGGTGATGCCAGCGTTGTGTTTTCGAGATCCAATGGGTGGAATTGAGCAACCGCAGCTATGCTGTGAATCGAGTTTCATAGCAATGCAACAACATTGTCGGAAGTGAAACGGGTGCTTGCTGATATTAATATGCTTCAAAAAAACTACTAAGAATGCTCGAGCTCCGTCATTTGCTGTGAACGAGAGGTAGGACCGGTACAAGTAAGTCAAAATGAAATGAAAACCAACAAACATGTTTTCAGCACCAGCGTCCGAAAGTAGATAATGTCAAGCTGGAATACGTAGCAATGGAATCCAAAGCCTTTGTAAAGTGAGTTTGCTCGATACCTCGTCTTTCATAGCTTCTGGAATCGGAGTCATCAAAAACTGCATTGATGTCCTGTGGGTGAAAAGCCATTGATTATAAATGATTGCTGATGACAATGCTAGCTTAAGCGAATGATTTTAACACTGACATCTGAACTTATGGGGACAAGTTTAGTCAATGCCTTATGAGCGGTCATGGGTTCCAGGCATTGTGGAAATGGGGCGTGTGGCATGGCGTATTTATCATTCCTCAAAACATGTACCATATACACCAATCGTTTGGCTATTCCATTGTAGACGCTTGCAATATCTGGTATAGTCTGTATGTTTTCCCTTTTCGGCAGTGCGCGGGTTTTATTGGACGCCGCACGCGGCTACACCTCACCAAAAAAACCGCCACCGTGGGACTTGAAGCCACCAAAGGTATCCCCGCTATGGATCCAAACGAAGCCTGATTGATGAAGAGAGTTGCCTGATACGTATTTTGGCACTGTACAAACACATCCGTCAATTTTCAAGTCGAGTTTGCTCCCTCCTTGCTCCGCAATGGCTATGCCTCATCCTTTTTGAATTCAGTCGCCGTGACTCCCGAAATGGATTCCGAATCAGAAATGATGGATGCCAGATTAAAGTAAGAGGATGAAAGAAGCCAAACGATGCTAGTCTTAGCCCTGCTACCTTTTCGAAACGTCGTTGATAATCTTCAGCTGTTATCCCGCTCATTACTGTCTACACCTTTCTAAACGTACTATTTTATTACTACTTGTTCCCTTGTCGGTAAAACATTTACCGTCTAAGGTGTGGTTTAAGTTCATCACCCCTCGCCTGATGACCCGGTCGCCCTATCCACAGTAAATGTGGGTCCACTCAAAGATAGAGTGGACCCACATTTACTGTGGACGGGCCTGGACCCCTGGTGAGTGTTAGTATTTTGCTCCTGGCTGGTTAGACTTGTCAACGATACGTACCTTGCAATTTGCGCCGGAGCGACTTTGATTGTGGACTAGCGTCCCCTAGAAAGTTAGTATGGGTGCCAACCCTATACTACGCCTCTCTGACCGGTAGGCCGACAGTGTACCGTCCAGAGAAGGCCACCCTATCTCCGTTTACTTCATCGGATGGGTAGGTGCCAGTGTACCCTCGTCAGAAGGCCGGCCCCCAACTACTCCCAGGACAGCGGGCCGGCGCTTCTGTCCAAGGAACCGGGTAAGGCCGTGCTCCACCTTACCCGTGCAATGGCATCTTTTGCACTCGTTTGTTCACCTACCGGAGTCGGAATAACTCTCTCAGGTGACGGAGTCGGATTGACTCATTCAGGGAACGGAGATAGGATGACGCTCAACGTTCAGGTAACGGAGATAGGTTGACACCCCTTATTCAAGTAACGGAGATACAATGACACTCTCGTTCAGATAGGGTTGTCGGAAGACACTCACGTTTAGATAGGGAAGCCTGATGGATACTTTCGTATCGGAGTTGAATTGACATTCTCAGGCAACGGAGATATAATGACACTCACGTTTGGAAAGGGGAGTACCAGCGACTCCCCTTGTTTCCCTTTGATGGGACCAACTCACCCAACGTCTGGCAGGGGAGTCTGATCCCGCCTCAACTTCCCAGTGGCACGCCCCGGTAGGTTGAGGTGTCGACCCTGAGCAACTTTTCCGCGGTCCCGGATCGACGTCGTTTAAGACCGGCGGACTGGAGGGGGTAAGGGCGAACGGCCCTTACCAAGGGGTGCCGAGGCCGGGTGGACCTCGACGGGTGCCGAGGCCGGGTGGACCTCGACGGGTGCCGAGGCCGGGTGGACCTCGACGGGGTGTCGCTCCCGCGAGGGAAACGATGGATGCCGACCTAAAGTTAGGTAGGCACATTGAGCGGCAAGGTTGGTGAGTGCCCTCCTTACCCCTCGGGTTTGGCAACGCGTCCAGCTAGTTGTAATAACAGCCGGTTGATCAGCGTTGCTGCCATGGCGCGGAATGGTGCCCGGCATTACGCTCAGCTAGTTGTAATAACAGCCGGTTGATGACGGAGTTGCAGCCACGGCGCGCATCTGGTGGCCTGGCGCCGACCCTGATATACTTTCT